TTTTTTTTATATAACAGCCTTGAGGAAAAAAGTGAGATATACATAGATGGTAATTTTTCTAGAATTTCTGGAATGGAGATATGAGAAATACAGTCACGTGACACAGAGAATTAACTCACGCTGTTAGAGCTGTTTTTGAATAACAAACTTTGACAACCTTATATCCCTATAATTCAGGGACTCATTCGAGAGTTTGCCTTGATTATGGAAAAATGCTTTTTCTTTTGTTTTGTTTCCATGGGAAATGAGAGATTATATTCATCAACAAACTTGACAAAAGTAACAGAAAAATAATTTCTCGAGATATTCACCAAATTGATGAGTTCATGTTTGATACGAAGAGGAACTTCATCTATCTCTCAAATGCTACCTTTCTTTTAAAAAGCTGAAACAGATCGAGCGCCCGAGGACGAATAAGAGAAGGAGAGATTTGTCACGGCAGTGCGCGAAGCAGTCGCTCGGAAAAACAGCGCCAGTGCATTAGAGATTGATGAATGGACTGCGGCTGGCCAGAGCAAGTCGAAAACAGCAGCAGAGGAATAGCAGTGGACTAATGGGATGTGCTGTCCAGCTGAAGCTGAGGAACTGGACGGATGGATCAAATGTTAGGAAGTAGCCGTAGAGATCTGTTCAGCAAACACTACAGGTGTTTGAGCATGATTGGTCATTACAAAGCCGACGTCGACCCTCTGTAGTTCACTTACGCACGCGAGCATAAAAGAAGCCGACACCTTTCCGATTGGGCCGCGAAAGAGACCGCGACGGCGATTCGAATCTCGTCTCCTTTGCACCTTGCGACCTGGCGCCAAGATCGTTCGAACGAGAAGCCGCTTGGTCATACCGAGAACATCCTAGAGCATGTACCCATCATCTGTTTACACCTTTTCAGATACAAACACCAGAATTTTGAGCTAAGGTGGCGAGGGAAGGAACTAAACTGCAAATCTACCGCTCCAGTTTCTTGCTTATCTTTCCTTCTTTCCCACGAAATTCTATTTGTAGCGCAGCACCTTAAAGGAGTTTTGCAGAGCCACCGGATGCAGAAACAATTACTAACTAAACAAGAGTTTTTCTGTAGATTTTCTTCTATTGTATCTATTAGACTAATGTATTTTTGCCGTTTACTGTCAATTATGTCCACATTTTCGACTCCAATGGCCTATTAGTGAAAGTAGGGGTTATTTTGAGATCAACTTATCTGAGCGCGAGCAAAAGAGGATTTATCCCTGACCTCGTAAGGTACTGTAGTAGATGGACAACTGCGCTACGGAGAAAGGGCCAATTTGAGGTTTGGACGGAGAACGGCTCTTCTCTAAGTTGTAACTTCCTTCTGATTCAAACATCAAATTGATTCAATTAATGCATTTATCATCTTTTAGCTTATAAATCTAATGTCGAATTACAATTTTTATGTAACAAAAACACGTTAGTTTGCTACTTCATAGAAACTGGAACGAAGGGTGGATTTCTTAGTCGGCAAAGCGAAAAATTGCATCAATCAGACAATTTTCTCCAGCATTTGGAATTTAGCTTGTTAAAAAGCTATGAAATATGAGTTAATTGACAAGATAGCCGAACAAAAAAACAAGTACATCTTCGTTAGTCTCAACAACTTTTCTAAGAGAGATATTTTTAGATTGCTAAGGAGATCAAATTCGCTGTAGGACGTCTGGTGTGTCCCGAGACCCGTTGGATGAAAGTCAAAAGTGGGGAAAAGCCCTCGTACATAGGAAAGGCAATTAGGAACGTAGAAAATGTAAGGTAACAAAGCAATAACATTGATGGATAAGCATTTGATCAGCAAAAGCCTCGCCAATTTTGACCAGATTTCTTGTTGACATGGAGATAGGTAAAAAAAGTCCGCTTAAAAGATAGTTGTATGAAGACCGGAGTTTTTTGCTGCGATTAGAGCCAAGACTAGGAATTTTTCTCTTTTAAGTAATGAGCTTCATTAATTATTCAATATGTATAGGACTACCCAAAAAGTCAGAGAGTTGCTTCTCACTAAAAAGTGACAAAGAATTATTATCCTGGAAATGGACCTTTTAGAGGAATCATTGCAAAATTCTCAGGACCAGTGCGCTTAGTTGCTCCGACTCCTGGTAGAATCCTCCAAAGGAGCGATGCTAATTTCCGAATGCTGATAAAGGTCGTTGCGCCCATGCACTAACCGAGTGCTGCTTGGCTGAAGCCGATTGAAAAAGGTTGAAGTGTCATTTTAAGAGTGGAAGCAAGAATTAGAAGACGGTCAAAAAGCCGCTGATAAGAGTTCGTATCAAAGGGGAGGTGGGGCGCGATCGGCGAGATGAAAGAACATCAAAAGATGCCGACAACGGTGCCAAAATATGTCGGTCCACTGTAAAACCCAGTCGACACCACATCAGCCCGAAATGCTAATGAGGTCAAAGTATTGGAGAAGCTCGTAATTCAGCCATACAAACGACTATAAAATCGATTCGTAACTAGACAACTTGTATTTCTTGTCTTCAAGAACAAGAACAATTCAGAAAACTTCAGAGGCTGGCGGAGCGAAGATTAAACATGAGGATTGTAGACCTATTGATAACTCGAATAATAATCAAATAGATGTT